CTGCCGGTGTTCGTGCCCAGTTCTGAGTCGTGTTCTGACAATGCGGAGGGTCGGGAGGCAGAGGCAGGAAATGGCGGAAACCCTCCCGTCGTGCTTTTGTCATGTCTCGAGGGGCTCTGGGTCCTCGAAGTTCGAGGTCCGAAGGTGGTGGCGTGCCACTGCTTGGACGACCGAATTACCCGGGACAACTGCGGTCTGGGGCAACTCCAGCTTGGGGCCCCCGAGGCGCGAATCTGTGGATACCCCTGCCTGCCCCCGGCCCTGATGGTTCCAGAGAGTTGGGCGCCCGCAGTATCCGGGACAACTGCGGTCCGGGGTAACTCCAGTCTGGGCCCCCGAGGCGCGGATCTGTAGATACCCCTGCCTGCCCCCGGCCCTGATGGTTCCGGAGGGTTGGGCGCCCACAACTGCGGTCTGGGGTAGCTCCAGCTTGGGGCCCCCGAGGCGCGGATCTGCGGTTACCCCTGCCCGCCCCCGGCCCTGATGGTTCTGAAGGCTCTGCGTTCTGCGTACGTCGCCGGCCTCACGGGCCGCCCTGGCCGACGAGGGGGCGGCCGCCCTGGCCTGGGCGGGCAGAGGCTCGTCGATCTCGCAGCTCCCCCCCCCACCCCACGCGCCGCCTCTGCGATTAGGTCGGGCATATCCTTCTAGAAGCGGATGTTGGACGAAACATTAAAAATGGTCCAAACAAATACTCCCAAGTAGCCAAAGATGGTCCAAAAATCGTGCCCAGATCATTTTTTCACCATTTGGGAATATTCCTCCTGTAGAGAGACACGCCCGACTTTCACTCTACGACGTTAAGTAGAGATAGAGTGCTCGCGCGAGCCTTGTGCGGAGGCCTCGTGCGGAGGCCATGGGTGGAAAACCTCCCGTCGTGACTTGCTGATGGCTCGAGGGGGTCTGGGAGTGGCACCCTTCGCCAGGGAGCTTGAGGGGCAACGATGGGAGGGGACTGACATAGGGTGGGACACATCGACCTGGAATCGGCGACACATCGCCGACAGATGGTGAATCCGCACGTTCCTGGGCAGGTTGGGGCTAAGTATCGATCCCCTTATCGGCGATCAATGGGCGATTGGGGGTCGATGCATCCCCACTATGCCCCTGCATCGTCCGTCTCATCGCACCAAATATCTATCCGTATCGAATCCATGCCAAACGCGTCGAGTCCGTGTCGCATTCGTGCCGATTCCGCGTCGAATCTGCGCCAACTCCGCGCCGAGTCTGCATCGGGCCCGTGTCGGGCGCAAGAGAAACACCCCTTTGGGGGGACAAGTCCCCCGAAGAACGTGATGAGAGCCCCCTATCATTGCCCCCAGACCCCCGACGTCGAATTCGTTTCATGACGTGACCCCCAGAAGTCCAGACCCCTTCCCGGGGACCAGTTTTTCATCCCGAGTCGTTTTTGCGGGTCCCGAGGCCCCGGAACCTGAAAATACAGAAAAATCTCCCATCATGATTTTTTCAAATCGCGAGGGGGTCTGGGCCATGAGAAGCCTTCCTCCTTTGGAGTACCATGTGGGACCTGCTCTAGAACAGGAACATATTGTAGACGGATCTACCCTTTCTTCGACCTTGCACCGCGCTGAACGCCACGGCCACGTTGTCCATAGACGCATCCACCCCGATAATGTATATGGACGTCACGACACCCAATGTGTCCATAGACGCTTTTGTCTAGGAAGTTAGAACGGTATGTGGCATCGGCTCCAGACCCAGACCCCCGACGTCATGAGTGTGTCATAACGTCGACCCCTAGAGGTCTCGACCTGTTCCCCTGGACCAGTTTTTCATCCTGAGTCGTTTTTGTTGACGGTCCCGAGGGCTGGTGAGGGCCCCTAGAGGCCGAAAATCTAAAATAAAAAAAACAACAAAAAAAACTTCTCGTCGTGATTTGTTCGTTGCCCGAGGGGGGTCTGGGGGAAGTTGGGTTTCTAGAAGCAGGCAGGCTTGGCCCTCCAACCCCTCCCCGCGGAAAGGTCCCGCGGCGAGAGGAAGGAGGAGGAGGAGCAGGAGGAGGAGGAGGAAGAAGAAAAGGAGGAGGAGGACCTCCCCATCCTCCCTTCTCCCCCGTCCTACCTATGGTAGTGGTGGTGGACGAGAGGCCCATCACATGAGTCACTGCACCGACCTTGCAGACGTGCTGCAGCGGATTTTCGCGTGGATGTCCGTCAATGCAGAACCCCGAGACAGCGAATGAAAAACGAAGTGAATTTCGCGTGGATGTCTTGTAGTCCTCCTTCCTGGCCCAAAAAAAGATCCGCACGAGCTTCGCCTCGACCTGCAGAACGAAACTCTCCAGGACACTCCGGGCCCATCCCCTCGCTTTCCGAACGACCTCCTCCTCCTCCTCCTCCTCCTCCCCCTCCTCCTCCTCCTCCCTCCTCCTCCTCCTCCTCCTCTCCTCCTCCTCCTCCTCCTCCTCCCTCCTCTCCTCCTCATCCTCCATCTCCTCCTCCTGACATGCTGGCGCCGTGGCATGCGAGCACCCCTCCCCGCGGCAGGGGTCCCGCGGCGCCGCGGGCCCCCGCCCGCGGGCTGTTCCCGGACTCCGACGCCTCCTCGCCGCCCCGGCAGCTCCGCGGGGCGGGCCGGCGCGCGGGCACCTGCGGAGGGGCCAATGCCGAGGCAGCCCGGGTGGGGGTGCGAGCAGGGGCCGGTCGTTCTCAGCTTCGGGCAGGTCTACTTGCATGGAGTTCGCCCCCCCCCCCACACCCACCCACCCACCCCTCGCCCCTCTTCCCCCCCATCCCCCTCCCCCCCCCCCCCCCCAATCGCCCCTCTTCCGGCGAACACCGCTGGCGTGCAAGTGGCGTTCGACCTGTGCGGTTTCCGCACGTGCCAGTCGTTTGCGGCTTACTCCAGGTTCAAGCCCCCCCGCCCATGCAAGTAAACTTGGCGGAGTCTGAAAGAAAACAGTCTCTAGATGGGGTCCGAGTAGATCTCGGTCGGACATGTCCTCCTACAGGCGGATTTGAGAAGAAGAGAAAGTAGTCAACATAATACTGTTTCATTAAAAAATCCAAAGTGCGCGAGAAATCGTCCCCAAGCTATTTTCTGGCTGTTATTGAATATTATCCTGTAGAGGGACATGCCCGACTTAAGAGTAGATGGAGTCGGGGGAGGATAAGGTACCAACCCCTACCCTCGCCTCGTTTTCACCTTCTTGGACCTCCTGGGAGGCTCTCGTCGCCACCGCTGGATTCGCCTCGAAATCCTTGTCAGAACGTACCCCGGGGGAGGTCTGGGGAGCAGCGGCAACGGTACCTGTTGGCTTCTCCAGATGGGGTCGGAATAGATGAGGTCGGAGGATCGCGCCGCATCGCCGATACATCGGCAATGCGGCTCGATGTGGAGCCCGACTTTCTCCGCGCCGACGTCGCCGATGCATCGCACACGTTGCCGATGATTCGGCGATGCGGCGCAATCCTCCGACACCATCTACTCCGACCCCATCTGGGAGGCCCAGGGAAAGAGAGGACGAGAGCCACGACCGAGACTGCCGGTAAGGCCTCGAGTTGCGCGCCGACAGCCCCCCCAGGTAGTCCCCGCTGGCCTCAACAGGCCCACCAAGAAGGCTCCCAGCTGGCCTGGACAGGCCCCCCGAGCGGTCTGGGCGGTCTCAGCACCCCGGCGCCACCTCTGGCGGCGCCGCTTGGGGCGCTCCGCGCCGCAGGATTGGGGGTGTTGAGACCGCCCTGGGCTCGGGGGGGCCTGCTGAGGCCGGCTGGGACTGCTCGGGGGGGCCTGCAGTGGAAGTTAATACACAAGAAGCCCGCCGCAAGAAACCCAACCCTGAAATCCGCCGAGGTTTCTCGGTCCAAGGTTGGATTTCTTCCACTTCGGCTGCAAACGAAGAAACCGATGGTACCCTAACCAGAGCGGATTCTTGATTGCTTGCATAAGAGCAAATGAACGTCAAGAAGCCCAACGCACCGACGCCCAAGAATCCCAGGGTGTCCTGCAGTTTGAAGTTTCTTCGAAATTGCTACAACTTTCCACGCCGAGAGCAAGCCAAAGAAACCCTGGGCACCCTGACGAAACATGAGGTGTTTCTTGACTTGCGGTCCGAATGTATTGAGGCCAGCTGGGACTACCAGAATGGGCTGTCTGTGCGCACCCTGAATGTTTACCAAAGACGGAACGCGGAAACGTGGGTGCCGATTTGGGTCATCGTCAGCTCGTGGATCATCCTCGCGGATCGGTGACGGCCGGCATGGACCATGACCACGACCCAGACCCCCGACGTCGTGATTCTGTCATGACGTGACCCCCAGAAGTCTGGACCCCTCCTTCCTGGGGACCGGTTCTCCATCTTGAGTCGTTTTTTCGACGGTCGCGAAGCCCCGGTGAGGGCCCCCAGAAGCCGGAAATAGCGAAAAACCTCCAGCCGTGATTTTCTCATGACTCGAGGGGGGTCCGGGAATCGGCGTCGACGAGATCCCGCGGCGGCATCGTCGTCCTGAGGTATCGTCGTAATCGTCGTCGCGATCGTCGTCGTCGTCGCGTCGGAGGCCGCAGAGGCATCGCAATCGTCGTCGTCGCGATCGTCGTGGTCGTCGTCGTCGTCATCGTAGTGATCGTCGAGATCGTCGTCGTGGTGGTCGTTGTCGGCGTGATCGTCGTCATGGTCGTCGTGCTTCTTCCCATCGAGGGCCCGCGCCTCCGGGCAGCCGCCCTGGAGCGCCTGGTCCTGGGGGCACGGCGCCGAGCTCTGCACCTTCCCACCGCCGCTGGCCAGGCCCCTCCTGGGCCCAGACATGCTCGCGTCGTGAGAAACACAAAACCAAACAAACAAACATAAAAAAAACAGGAGGGCCTGCTGTTTTCCTGCTAGACTCCGGCAAGTCTACGTGCGTGGGCGGAGGGTGGGGGGGAAGGCCTGAGCCTGAAGCAGCCGCAGGCGCCTTGCACGTGCGGACAGCACGCAGGTCGGAAGGCACTTGCACGCTACGCAATGTTCGTTTGAAGAGGGGCGAGGGCGGGGGCGAACGCCAGCAAAGTAAACTTGCCTGGTCTGCGTATTTCTTATACTGTTTCATATGTATATATATATATGTATTATAGACCATCGTGCTGGTATTTTCGACTTCAACACGAAAACCCCACACAAAAAAAAACGGCGGGAGGCTGTTGGCCGTCTTCGGCCTCCGGGGGCCCTCGCTCGGCCTCCCGGGGCCGCCCGAGAACGGCTCGGGGCGAGCAGCCGGCCCTGCACGCTTCCCCCCGGGGCCGTAGGCGACCCGAGGAGAAGGAGGAGGGGGAGAGGAGGAGGAGGAGGAGAGGAGGAGGAGGAGGAAAAGGAGGAGGAGGAGGAGGAGGAAGGAGGAGGAGGGAGAGGAAGGAGGAGGAGGAGGAGGAAGAAGGAGGAGAAGGAGGAGGAGGAGGGGAGAAGTCAGGACCTCGCACAGGTCTGGAGGCACGCCTCCCTGTCCAGGCCAGGAGGGGGCCGGGGGCGTGGGCACCTCCTCCTCCTCCTCCTCCTCCTCCTCCCCTCCTTCCTCCTCCCTGCTCCTCCTCATCCTCCTCCTCATCCTGCTCCTCCTCCTCCTCCACCTCCTCCTCTCCCCCCTCCTCCTCCTCCTCCTCCTCCTCCTCCTCCTCCTCCTCCTCCCCCTCCTCCTCCTCCTGCTCCTCCTCATCCTCCTCATCCTGCTCCTCCTCCTCCTCCTCCTGCTCCTCCTCCCTCCTCCTCCTGCTCCTCCTCCTCCTCCCTCCTCCTCATCTCCTCCTCCTCCTCCTCCTCCTCCTCCTCCTCCTCCGGACCCACTCCTGGACCCCCGGCGTCGTGATTTTGTGATGACGTGACCCCCAAGAGCCTGGACCCCGTGGGGGACCGGTTTTCCATCCTGAGTCGTTCTGTTGACAACCCCGAGGCCCGAGAGGCCCCCGGGGGCCGAAGATAGCGAAAAGCCTCGCGTCGTGATTTTTGCACAACGCGAGGAGGTCTGGGCTTGTGACGGCCCCAGCGACTCGACAAAGCAGCAACACACGGCAAAACAAAGCTCGCCGGAGGTCTCTAGAGGCCCATTCTCTCCCGTGGCAGTCCATGAAGCTCCGCAGGTCGGCCAGCGCCGCCTGTTGGGGGGCAGTCTCATGCTCCTCCCTCTCCTTCTCCTCCTCCTCCTCCCCCTCCTCTTCCTCCTCCTTCTCCTCCTAATCCTCCTCCCCTGTTCTCCTCCTCCTCCTCCTCCTCCTCATCCTCCCCCTCCTCCTCCTAATCCTCCTCTTCCTCCTCGTCCTCCTCCTCCTCCTCCTCTTCCTCCTCATCCTCATCCTCCTCATCCTCCCCCTCCTCCTCCTCCTCCTCCTCCTCCTCCTCCTCCTCCTCCTCCTCCTCCTCCGCCTCCTCCTCCTCCATCCTCCTCCTCCTCCTCCTCCTCCTCCTCCTCCTCCTCCTCCTCCTCCTCCTCCTCCTCCTCCATTCCTGTTCCTTATGAATAACTTCTCCGTCGCACCCCGAGGCTATCTTTTATGGCTGGCCGGGCGTTTCACCAGAGACTTCCTCACCATGTATGATGACTATGAGGTTTCGAAAGTGGCAACAGCTTGACAAATGGAGGGAGGGTGGTTTTCAAAATGTGGCTCTTGCCTTAGCACCGCGCACATTCGTTCTGATGGTTTTCAAAACGTGGCTATCGCCTTAGCGCCGCGCACATTCGTTTTTGTTTTGAAAAACTGTCAGAAGTTTCACGAAAGCGGGTGGTTTTCAAAATGTGGCTCTCGCCGTAACGCCGCGCACATTCGTCTTGAATATGTGCAAGAGTTTCACGGATTGAGGGCGGGTGATTTTCAAAATGTGGCTCTCGCCTTCGCGCCGCGCACATTCGTGCTGAAATTTGCACGAGTTCCACGGATGACCATGATCAACGTATCAGAAATTAAGTTTTGGAAAGATTCCGACTTATGCAGGTGCAACAATTATGTTCATTCGCGGTGTTGAAATTCCAATAATGGCGTTCTGTCACGATGCAGCAGTCAGGCTGATCCGTGGGGTTGAATTCCCGAGAACACTGCTTTGGCATGCTTCAGGGTCTTCCAACGGTTGTCTTCCGACGAGGCAGTTCCCTCAATGGAAATAAACCGTTGTAGGGGCCCATGAAGAGGGAGCTTGGAGGGAGGGTGAACTCCAACATCGTTGATGACTCTTGGGTTTACACTGGTCCTCCTGCTCCTCCTCCTACTCCTCCTCCTCGTCCTCCTCCTCCTCCTCCTCCTGCTTCTCCTGCTCCTCCACCTCCTCCTCCTCCTCCTCCTCCCTCCTCCCTCCTCCTCCTCCTCCTCCTCCTCCTCCTCCTCCTTCTCCTCCTCCTGCTCCTGCTCCTGCTCCTGCTCCTGCTCCTGGTCCTGCTCCTGCTACTGCTCCTGCTCCTGCTCCTGCTGCTCCTCCTCCTCCTCCTCCTCCTCTTCCTCCTCCTCCTCATCATCATCAGCAGCACCACCACCACCACCACCACCACCATCATCATCATCATCAGCATCAGCATCATCAGCAGC